TGGGTTCCAATCCGGGACGGAACGCCTGTCCCGATCCCCAGGGCGCAGGTACCGGCCGCGCACCCCACAGGCCAGGTCTGCCCCCTCGGAGCAGCACCGCCCAGGCCGCCCCAAATCCTGCCTCCCGGGCCCCCAGCAGCGCCCTCCCCGCCCCATCCCGTGCCGCCCGCATTTTGGGGCAAATCAAAAGTGAAGAGGGCTCTACATCTGAAACTGCGCGGTTTCGCCACTCAACTCCTCCTGGGAGAAACTTCCCTTTTAAAAAAAAGAAAGAAACACTTTTAGGCTAACATTTCAATCCCTCCTGCCCTTCATAGAGCTAGTTGTGCTTCCAGCTGGCTCCGGGTCTCCCACTAGAGCTGAGAGTTATAAAGATATTCTTCAAGCGTTTAGCGGTTATTTACAAAGTTTCAAAAAAAAAACCTTGAAAATTAAAAGGTGGAAAAAAAAAAAAACCTTATCACACACATCCAGGAAACGCAGCCCCGTGCACCGCCTGCTCCGGGATGGGCAGAAGACCGGGGCTCCGGGGGATGGATTTGGGGGCGCCCGGGGGGCTCCCCGGGTGTGAGTCGGGGTCCGCGGCGAGGCCAATCCCCTCCCTTGACCCCTATGGACGCGCCCTCCGCCCGGCCCGTGTGGACGGTCCCGGCCATTGTTTGCGGGGGACGCCTGTTAGGACGCATTGTTTTGGCTGTTTCCAACTTGCCCTGGCCCCTCCCGGGCCATCGCAGGGGACCTCGCGCCGGTCCCCTCCCCTCCGCCCGCCCCCCACGGGCGACGCCGCAGACCGGGGGACCTGCCCGGCAGAGCCACCAACTTTTCAGGAACAGCCCCCCACCCCCGCAGCCCCCGGGCTCCCTCCGGCCGGCCCCCCGCTGCCGAGCCAGAGGAGGGGACTCCCCGCCCCCGGCCATCCTGACTGCTCCAGGAGTGAGTGTGATGGTACAACACTGTGCACACCGGGGCTCGCCCGGCACCTCCTCGCGGGCGGAATGGCCCTGCAGAGGGTGGGGAGGGGGCGCCCGAGAGGAGCGGAACAGAGTGGGGACGGGGGGGAGGGGGGCGGCCGGCGGGCGGGGATCGCCCGGGGAGAGGGCGAGGTACCGCGCCGGAGACTCGGGGCGGGCTCGGGGGGCCTCGGGAGGGGCGAGGCGGGGCGCCCCCTGGGGCCCGGCGCGGGCGGGGGCGCGCCCCCTTTACCTGCGGCTCCGGCTCCTCGGCCATTTCCTCGCTCGGCGGCGGCCGGGACTGAACTGACACCACACGAGCGAGCCGGGGTTTGAATGAGGAGGGAGCAGGCGAGGAGGGGAGGGGGCGGGGAAGGCGGAGGGAGGGGAGGCGACGGGGAGTTTCTCTCGGCCTTTTGTGCGGACACCTCCCGATTCCGCGCTCGCACCGGCCCCCCAAAAGGGACGGGGGCCACGGGGCCAGGAGCGAAGCCATGCCCCGGGGCGCCTCAGGGCCTCGCGCCTTGAAGACCCCCCCCAAGAGGAGCGCCCCTCACCCCTCCCCACCCCCGCCCCCGCCCGGAGGATTTGGGGGCCGGGCTCACCTCGCGCGCGGGGCTAAGGTGAGCGGGGCGGGGGTGCGCACGGGGGGCAAAGGCGCGGGCGCCCCCTACTCGTCCGCGCGGGGACAGTGCAGGCGCGGGGGGTCCCTAGAGCCGCAGGGGCGCGGCGCGTCCGGCGCAGGGGGACTGTTGGGTCAGAAAGTGCTCAGGGAGCAGCTGTTGCGCCCTCCCTCGGCCCAGCGGCGCGGAGACGCCCCGCCTCCTGCCTTCACCGGCCGTGCGGCCCCGCCCCCCGAGGCCCCGCCCCGCGCCCATGTGACCCGCGCAGGCGCGCCCCTGCCCCGCCCACCGCCGCGGACCCCGCCTCCGGGACGCGAGCGAGCGGACGAGCGCGCGCCCTCCATGCTCTCGCCTTGCGACTCCCGCGCACGCGCGCGCCTCTCACCGCCCCCGCACCCCCCGCCTCCCGCCATCCGGCTTAACGTGGCCCGCGCGCGCCCCGGCCGTTCCAGTGACAGGTACGCGGGGAGGGGGCCACGAGGGCGGCGCGCAGGCGCAGATCCAGGCCTCTGCCTCGCCGCCTCCCCCTCCTTGCAAGGTGTGCCCGGGCGAGGGGAGGGGCTGGGAGCCAGAACTCCTGGATCATCCAGAATTTCCAACAAAAAGGTTTTACCCCCGTTTGGGTAGGTTAGAAGGCAGCCGTGCACAAACATTTTTTCAGATTTCCTTCAAGTGTGAGGAAGGCCGATGAGATAAGATGATTAAAATTTTTTTAATTAGTGTCTCCATAAAGCTATCCTTTAATTGTTGTTGTTTTTCTCAAAGGGCTGGGCTTGCGCTGCTACGATAACTTGAGATTTCTAAACTTGGCCTAGGTTCCAAGAATCCACTTGGCTTTGATAGAAATCCACGCGGATGAAACGGACTTAAACTGGGGACAAAAAAAAAAAAAAAGAAACTAGCATTGCCCCCTCCGCCCCACGCCCAACTCATTTAGTTTCCCAACTGTTCTTTTCCTTGCTCACAAAAAAAGAAAGGGTTATGATTCGGAAACCCTGTGATATTTCCCCATTTTAAGTATGCGCCAAGGAGGGACCAAAGAAGCAACAATCACATCCACAAGTTTTCTGCCCCAAGATGCAAACGAATGCAAATATAAACGGTGCTATGCAAGTCACCACAAACAAAACAGCCAAGTATTTGTTTTATTGGCCTTTGGTGATTCCAAAATGGAAAAACTTAAAACATATCAAGAAAGGCACTTAAAGTATATATTTAATGAGTCGGGAATTGGGGGAAAGCACTACATAAACGCTCCGCTCGTGAGCAATGCAATCCTTAATAAATAGGAAATGTAACTTGCAAGACAGCTTCTTAGCAAAGGGGAAGAGTTTGCCAAGTGTGATGTTTTGCTGTCATTTTGTATATAACTACTAACCCCACATATGGTCTGGTTAGTCTTTTTTAAAAGGAAGTGAACCAATTACTTACCCACACTTAATTAATTAGCAGTGCCAGAAGTAGACTCTTAGGCCAGAATTCTTTTTTTCTCACTCAGGCACACTGATATTGATCACTTCTAGGACTGGGTTTCCTTTTCTCAAGTTAAAATGAATGCCTTTGTTTAAAATATTTTTTAAAGCCTTATAAATAGTCACATCCTAAAACACAGTCCAAAAACATGCTCTTCATAAACAAGTAACTTCATTTAACTTATCAAAACAAATGGCTTGGAGTATGGCTACAAAACAAAGAAACTATGCACAAGCGGAACCAGGTTGAGTCTTAACACAAGTGTAGTCTCACTCTACATGTTAATGGATAACCTTTGAACTCTGAAACCTTGAATGCTGTAAACACAATAGCACCGATAGTTAAAAATCCTAGTGTCAAAATTGAGCAAAAAGAAAAGTCCAAACTTTTCAGTAGGAATAGGGAAACAATCAAATGTTTTGACAAATAATCGTTTCACTAAGAACAATGAGGCTCCTGGCTCTCAGACCTTGTTGCTACGGAATTATTTTCTGAGCAAAGACGGTTGTGCTTTTCTCTATGCCTTCACAAAGCTACCACTTTGTTAGCATAATAGCATCATATGGTTTGTTAGTCACTGTTTCTCTCCCCCCCCCAAAAAAACCCTTATTATGTTGTAGCTTTTCAAATTGAAAGATAACTGTATTAACTGATCTATCTGCTAAGAGTTTTATCTATGATCCCTGTGTCTGAGCAAAGAAATTACAAAGAACCTTATTCCTGGAGACGAGCCAACAAAACTGGGAAATCGTTGCAAAATTCTGCCAGTGACTGAGCGCTGGGTTGCAAACACATACTGCGTTTTTAAATGGACACAGAGTGATCTGAATTTGCTGTAAGGCTTCTCTGAGACACGTTCTCCCCTCTGAATGTAGAGGCTCATACTTAAGATTTATTTGGAAAGCATGTATAGTTAAAACAATTAAAAATGGAAACTTCAAAAGTAACAAGAGAACACTAGGAAGATTTGGTTTTGTAGTAAAAGCTAAGAACTCATTATTATTGTATGAAATGAAAATTGAAAATCGAACGTTGATCTACATATACTTAGCTCCACCCACGCGCAATCCTGTTTTGCCATCACCCCCTAGCTAGACTCTCTCTCAAGGAGTCAGGTGCTGCAGAGGCGCAGGCGACACAAAGAAAGAATGGAACCCGAAATGTCCCTTCAAATGTGAGCTCAGGCTCTACATATGTTACTCCGGGAAAGGGCGAAAAAGCCCCACTTCACCTCTTTTTAATGTGACAAACATCAGCTACACCTCATTTCCACAATTATCCAAACAGACCAGCCCTCCTTAAGATGCGTTTCCCAGTGAACGCTTATAAAAATCATACCATTATCTCTGATTTAATCCTAGTGAGATGAGACCTCTTCGTTTAGCTAACTTCTGACTTTCCAGATCCTGCCTGCCACAGCAGTGTCAGAGCTAATAACAAAACAAAAAAACCCTTCTCATTTGCTATCTTTAACATTTATTGGAATCATCTTTTGAGACTTAGCCTTAATTAGAAGAACAGAATGCAATACGATCTTCTTATTTCGCAAGTATTTATTTTACTGTGGAACTATTACAGAAAAACGATTTGGAAACCGTATGGAAGTCCCTGGAGCTGAACTAAAGCCAACATAGATACTCGCCTTAAAAGAAGTCAGTGTTCAGAGCAAGAAAACCTGAAAAACTGCAGTGAGGAGTTAGCAGGAAAAGAAAATTGAAAAGTTAGGCAAACCTGCCAGCTTTTGCAAACTACAAAGGACATTTGAGAAGCCACCGGGAGGGGCCCTTTTAACACGACTGAATGCACTAAATTAAGTAGGGAGCTCCAACAACTCCAGGAAACCCCACACTTCTCTTTTCTATTCAGTTTCTTGATCCCACTCAATTCATCTCACAATTTAAACCCGCTATAAAACATAGACTAATCTAGGATAAAAATAAATAGCAGAAATTACCTTTCAGAAGTGGAGGCAGTCTCTGGAACCTGGAGACTCTCTCTGAGCTTGCCAGTCCACCTGGCTCGAAACAATACTGGAAGAGATGGGCTTGCTGGTTTTTACAAGCAAACCAAAAAGGGAGGGGCCAAGAATAAGGCTCAATTTAAATAGAGGTTTAGATACAATCCCGACTTGATTAAATCAATCAATCTTGATAATGTGCCAAGAACACCGTTTATTTTAACTGCGTTTGTCCCATTGGCAAGTTTTGATGGTGCCCTCCCCCCTCTTCAAGCACACTTACTTATGTCTTCCTCTAATATTCTAGATGGTTTTCCAAGGTTGAGTTCACTTAACATGTCGATGTAAATTTTCTTTAAAAATTACGTGTGTCACAGAACTTTCAGAGCGCCTCTTTAAAGCTTTTTGCACTCATCTGATACTCCAAATGGGGAGTTTGGGGATAAGGAAGGAGGGAAGAGGAAGGTAGCTAACAGTTATTGAAATCCCGTCCCCATCCTCATCTCAGTAGATGGAACCATCTTCCATCCACCCACTGAAGCCAAAACCTAGCCGTCAAATTATAATAATCTCATCTCCAGCCCCCTCACACACACACACACCCACCCCACCTTTAATCCATCAACAAACCCTATACAGTGTAATTTCTATTTTAATATATCTCAACTTTGCCCACTTCATCTCTAACACAAGCTCTTATTCTCTGCTGTAAATATATTGAGTGTGCCAGGTGTCTCCAAGATTCTTCCTTTCCAAGTTTGCCTTACATTCTCCACCCATAGCCCAAGAGATCTTTTACAGTGTAAATCAGATCATGTCACCGCCCAGCTTAATGGCTTCCTATCGCCTCAGGAAAAAAGAACAAACTCCTGAGCTCGCCTCACCAGCCCTGAAGATCTGGCCCGGCCTAACTCCCCAGCCTCAAGTCTTGGCAAGCCCTTAGGATTCTAAGCTTCAGCCATCAGGCCTTCTCTCTGACCCACAGCCTTCAGACCTGTGGTTGCCTTTGCCTGGTACTCCCTTCCCTTCCCACTCTTTGGGGAAATGAGCTTCTCTTCTTCCCAAAAGTGGTTAAACCTGTGCTCTCTGGTGGGGGGGGGCTCTGACAAGGTGCCGGAATGTCTTCTCTCTGATCCCTTGGGCTCAGATACTCCTTTTCTGCCTCTTGAAAACCGCATTAATCCTAGAATATTATTTAATCTCTCTGGGTTTCACTTTCCTCATCCACAAAATGGGGTGATGAAGAAGAAGAAGAAGAGGAGGAAGAGGAAGAAGAAAATCTTGAAAGTTCTCATCACAAGGAAGTAAAATTTGTAACTATGTAAGGTGATGGATGTTAACTAAACTTACTGTGGTAATCATTTCACAATATATACATATATCAAATCATTATGTTGTACACCTCAAAGTTATACAGTGTTATATGTAAATTATATCTCAATAAAACTGGAAAAAGAAGAAATATATATAATTATTTATGTAAATAGTAATGTATTTTTTTGGTGAGGAAGATTGGCCCTGAGCTAACATCTGTTGCCAATCTTCCTCTTTTTTGCTTGAGAAAGATTGTTGCTGAGCTAACATCTGTGTCAGTCTTCCTCTGTTTTGTATGTGGGACACCGCCAGAGAATGGCCTGATGAGTGGTGTGTAGGTCCGCGCCCGGGATCCAAACCTGAGAACCCCAGGCCACCAAAGCAGAGCACACGAACTCAACCGCTACACCACTGGGCTGGCCCCAATATTTGTTTTTATATAAGACTCTTTGGAGAATTAAATGAGACACACCGTGCAAAGTTCGAAGCCCAGATTTTTGGGGGGCCTGGCACTGTTCCAGGCACGGGAGACAGAGCTTACAGTAAGGAACCCACAAAGTCCTTGTCCTTTTAGAATTTATCTTTTAGAGGGAAACAGACAACAGACAGGTATATTTGCAAATGAGAGTCACTGGAGAGGGGGAGATGCCTGCTGTTCTAGATTGGGCCCCCTGAGAGCAGCGGCCTCAGGAAGTCAGGTGGCAGGACTGGGCTAGAGTAGAGGAAGGCTCAGAGCACAAGAGAGCCTGGCTTAGGGAAAGAACTGCAAGGAGCCCAGTGCGTCTGGGGCCCAGCAAGTGAGGACAGGGAGCAGAGAAATAAGGCAGGCCCTCGTAAGGACAGTGGCAAGGACTGGTCTCCGACTCTAATTGAGGGAGCATTTCAGAGACGGTCAGTTCTCCGTCCTCACTGTATTGGCCACACTTGCAGCACTTGCTGGAGTCGGTCCCTTCCTCTTCTGTGAAACACTTCTTCCCTCAATTTGGGACACCTTGTCCTCCTGACTCCCACCCTGGCTGCTCCTTCTCAGTCCATGGGGCTGGTTCTTTCTCCTCTCCCTGACCTCCAGACTTTGAAGGGCCCCAGGGCCCCATGCTGGTGCCTTGTCTTCTTGCTCTTATTCAATCCCCAGGTGATGTGACCCAGCCCAACGGCTCAAAATACCACCTATATGTGGAGGACTCCTAAATTTATATATTTCCCACCCAGACTTCTCCCGCAAGTCCCAAAACATATTTCCAATGGCCTACTCCACCTCCATTTAGCTGTCCAGTAATGAACTGTATAGATTCCACTCTCAGACCCCCTCCTCCTGCAATCCTCCACCACTGAGGGATGCTTAATCTCGTGGAATTGATGAGACTCGGGAAGTGAATGCGGATGGAAAAGAAAGGGTGGGTAGTGAGGCGGGTTAGCCACTGACATTAGATCATGCACACCTCCCTGCCAGGTACCCCCAAAGCTTAAACCCATGCAGTTACATGCATTACCCATTATAGTAATTATTTGTTCCTGCCTGGCCTCCTCCTACTGGACTCTAAACTCCATAAAAATAGTTGACTCTGTGTCTTGTTCTCTGCTGCATCCCCAAACCTAGCATGATGTCTGCCTATAGCCGTCATCAGTAAATGTGTTCAAAACAAATGAATATGGAACTGAATAATGATACCCAGAACTCAGCTGCAGTGAGTTCCGGTGGGAAGGGAATTGACATTTGGGTCTTCAGGCCAGTCACTGGGGTCTTGGCTCAGTTTCCTCATCTGTAAATTGGGGATAACCTCGACTTGGCCTGCCTCATTGGACAGTGGGTTTGCCCCATGTCATACCGCAGGGGAAGCTCTGTGTTGTACAAGAGCAAAGAGTTGTTTTTATGATGACTCGTGAATACTGAGAATCCACTCCACACAGGCCTCCACTTGTGTGTAGGGCTCGTCTTTGAATATACCTGGCACTCCAGTCTCGGCTCCCCCGACGACATTACATTAGACCCGAAACCCGACGCCTTCCGCAGCTGGCTGGGAAGAGCATTCAGTCTGTGACCTCGCTTTTCTCCATTCCTTCTTCTCCCCCTTTCAGATGAGATAAATGGTGTAGGAAGTGGTTTGTATTGTTGGTTGGTTAGGAACTTTATTTTGTCTTTTGATCTGAATCAGAGGGTTAACTCCATCAAGAGTGGAGACTTGTCCAGGCTCACATGTGGAAGTACCTCCTGCATTTCTCTGCCTGGGGATGGGTTGGGTGGACTAGAGCACTGATATTCCAAAAAGCGTCTATGCCAAATGCAGAGCCACCACGCCCAGAGGCTAGCAGGTAAGCGCGAACATTTACTGGGTTCTCAGTGTGTGCTTTCCACTTTGTAACTCCTTTAATGCTCCTAACAACCGTGTGAGGCAGCACCTATGTTTTTCTATGTTTTAGATGAAGAACCTGGGCACAGAGGGATTAACTCAAGGCCACTGCTCTGGGAGTCTAAACTCAGCCCCTGCCTCTAGGGGCTTTGTCCTTATCCACGGATACAGGGCCTCCCTCACGTCATGGTCCCCTGCCTGGGTCTCCAACCTCAGCTCCTATCTCCCCATCTCTCCCCTCACTGTCCTTCACCACAAGGGCCTCCTTTCCTGCAGGAAGTGGCCAAGCCCCACCCCTCCACCCCCTGGATATCCCTGGGACCTTGAACCATGCCTAGCTCATAGTAGATGCTCATTAAATACTAGATGAAAAATGACTAAATGATTCCTGTGTGCCGGACACTTCACATCCATTATCTCATTACATTCTCCTAGTAACACAATGAAACGGCTATTTTTGGTCTTGCTTTCAATGCAGAGAGGTTCAGTATGCATTCAACCAACAGAAGGCACACCTACTACGTGAGGTGCCTGGCATTTTTCCCACATGCCAGGGATACAACTGTAAAGAAAGTGAAGTCTGTGTTTACACAGCTACCATTCCAGCAGAAGCGCACACTCACACCTCAGTCACACTGATCCTTCCAAAAGTTAAATCTGAATAGGTCAGGGCCCTGCCTAAAACTCTAATGTCTCTTAGAATAACAACAAAATTCCTGGTAACATGGATGGCAGGATCTGGGGAAGCTTGAGAAGACTGGATTTTATTCTAAGAGCCCGGGGAAGCCAGGAAAGCAACTGGAAGTAAAACTGACAGAACTATGAACTTCAAATAAGTGGTTCTTTCTTGAGATTATCTCCTGAAAGATCTCAGCCTTGTGAAACAAGGAGGACGTGTCAAACTTTAAGAAGTTGTCGTCCTTTTTCTTCAAGCTGACGTTTTCCTCTCCTTGTATCCCCAAACGATCGTAGAATCAGAGCTGTTCCTGATAAGCATGCTGGCACTGGGCTAGCTATAATCTTATTAATCTTCACTCCTTTAGTTATTACGGTCTTTTCTTTAAAAAGAGGGAACTGAGGCTCGGGATGGATAAGCAGCCTGCCTGAGGTCCCACAGCTAAAAGTTTGTTTCCCTACCTTCCAGAGGACACGGAGGCCAATGGGCCATTTGAATGCAAGGTCAAACCCCAGCTCTGTCACTGACCTAAATTTCCTCACTTCTAAAAATCTCCACTGATGCACATTTCTCGACACTCTATTTCCTGAATGTTCACCAGTCAGCCATGTGTGGCTCTCGGGCAAGGTTGAAACATCCTCACGCAACATTCCGCCCCTCCCCCCATTCTGGAAAGGCAGTATTGCACTTGCTCGCCCCAGGGCTAGTCTCCTCCCGCCTGTCACTCCCTTGCGTTCTTGGTGTACCTGCTTTGTGCAGCTCCGTCTTCCCCGATAGACTGCAAACTTCCTTTGAAGGTAGGGAAGGAAAGTCATGCAAATTTATGTCCCAACAGCAATTAGCAGAGTGCTTTTTGCACAGAACTGGGAGGCAATGAATGTTTGTAAAATGAAAATGTCCTAGATGAGGGCTCAGCTTTCCATGCCTTCCTTTCCATTGCCCCTCGGAGCTGATCAGTTAGCGAATCTTACAGACCCTGTCATCCTGATCTCTTTCAAATGCGCCCTTTCCTTTCTCTTCCCATCATCCTCACTTCTTGTTTCCTTCGGATCCCTGGAATAATCTCTGAACCAGTCCTCATGTACCTGTGCCTCCTAGCCCAGAATACTTTTTCCTCAACGCCACAAATAAGCATCCTGAGACTGCCCTGTGCAAAAATCTCCAATTTTACCAAAATAAGTCATAGTTCCCTCTCTTGGATGGAAGACTACACCATGGCCCTAGCCAACCTTTCAGCCAGATTCAGTCCGTAAACACTGACGGACCACTTCCTTGTCCCGGGCACTTGGCTAGACAGTAATTAACGAGTGAGGTACAAAGCAAACTAGATTCCTGCCCTCGTGGAGCTTAAGTTTTAATAGGAGAAATAGACATTAAACAAACTAAAACATAAATAAATAGATAAGCATATAATTACGGTACCTATCCTAGAGAAATAACCAGTGAGGTACACAAAGAAACATACACAAGGATGTTCACAGCAGCATTGTTTATAACAGTGAAAAGCTAGAAACAACCTACATGTCCATCAAAAAGAAAATGGCCACATAAACTATGGTATATCCAAATTTAATAGAGACAGCAGTTGGAAAGAATGAAGTAGTTACTGCCACATGAACTCACGTAGCTAGATCACCAAGACATTGTGAAGTAAAAAAAAAAAAAAAATCAAGCTGCAAAAAGGTATGCCATTTTTCTTTAAAATGGTATATTTTGATATATGATATATTTTTCTAAAGAAATGATATATTTTCTAAAGAAAATAATGTATATGTGTATAATATATAGGATGTATGTATGTGTATACATACACACAGATCATAAGAAATATATATGCTGATCATTTCACCATATATACAAATATTGAATCAGTATGTTGTGCACCCGAAACTAATATCCTTAGTGTTATGTGTCAATTATATCTTGATAAATAAATAAATAAGAAATGTACGTGCAAATACATGAATAAAAGTTGGGAAGATCCATACCAAATGTGGTTAATTCTCAAATGTGGGCAAGGAGCAGGATAGTTTGGTGGTAACTAAATATTTTGATCTTTTTTTTCTTGCTTGCTTGCTTTTTTTGGTGAGGAAGATTGTCCCCAAGATAACATCTTCCTCTATTTTGTATATGAGACACTGCCACAGCATGGCTTGATGAGCAGTGTGTAGGTCCACACCCAGGATCAGAACCTGTGAACCCTGGGCCACCAAAGCAGAGCATGTGAACTTAACCACTATACCACCCGGCCCCAACTCTAAATATTATGATCTTTTTACATGTAAAGCATATTCATATTTTACCTGTATAATTAAACATTAGTTGCCTATTAACATAGATTCCAAATTGTGTTAAATACCCTGGGGAATAGAAAATGGGGAAGAAGACTTAGGATTTCCATATACTGCTTTTGGATAAACCATTCTCTACTTACCCACCTCTTTGTTCTATTCATGCTGCCTGTCCCACCCTGACTTTGAATGTCCCCAAACCCGCGTGCCATGTATATGCAAAAATCAACCTACAGACATCCTACCCATGCCCCAAGGTCCACTCTAAACGCCACCACTCCCTCCTCATTCAGTCACTTTTTGCTCAATGCCTCCTTTATGATACTTCTGGATTATGCCTAGCCCTGGATATGTGTGTTTGTCTTCCCACCTGAATGGACTGCAGAGTCCTCAAAGGGAAGGCCAATTTCCTCCACGTCGTGGAATAGTGGCTGGCACATAGGCAGTATCCCAATATTTAGCTACTCTACTTAATTAAATAATCTCCCTGGATTCTTTCATTCACTCATTCATTTCCTCTCTCACTCAGCCAATATTTATGAAGCACCTACTATGTACTAGGCACTGTTGTAGGTGCTGGGGATGCAGTAGGAAAGCAAACCAATCAAAATGCCTATCCTCATGGAGTTAACATTTAATGTGATGGTGTATTAAATGATAAGTGCTATGGAGAAAAATAAGGGGGGAGGGCCAGGGAGTCAGGGAGGGGAGGGGATAAGTGGGGGTGATGAAAAATAGGCTATTCCATGACGTCTTCACAGGTGGAGACATCTGAGTAAAGATCTGAAGGAGGTGACAGTGGGAGCCATGTGGAGTTCTGGGGAAAGACCATTCCAGGTCAAGGGATGGCATGCAAAGACCTGCATCACTGTGCCCAGCAAAGAAGTCAGCATGGATTGTGACTGGTGTGGGATAATAAGACCAGTCAGAAAATGAGGATGGAGGAGACGAATACTGATTGCTTGGGCCTTTGGGGCATTTTAAAAACCGCATTTACTCTGAATGAACCTGACAGCCACTGAGGGATGATAACCTGGCTTGGGTATTAAGAGGCTTATTAAACCAAGATAAAACTAAGAGTAAGACAGCCTCCTTTGCTGAAATCACTCAGATATTTAAGTGTGTCCATATTTTCAGATTACTTTTACAACAACAACAACAGCGATAATAGTAATAGAAGAGATAAGAAGGGTAAGAAGAGGGAAAAATAAAACAATTTCTTGAGCCCCTGCCAAGTGCCAGAGTCTTAAGTGCACTCACCAAGACAGACCCGTTGAGTTCGTTCCCATTAACTCCACATCCGATTTATCTAATCATGGTGTTATTTAGTTCTCCTGGTAACCTATATATTTAAATTAATGTGGCAGATGAGGAAACTGTGGCCATCAGAGGTGAACTCACTTTCTCACTTACTAACCTCTAACTTACTGGAGGTTCTACAAGAATAAAGTGGAATTCTAGCCTGATCTAATTCCAAAGTCCATGCTGACTCATGCCATTCTTTTCTGGACTAAGTGGTTGACCTTGGCCTTAGGAGAACAGGGAATGATAGCAATCATTGATTAAGTACTTACAGGCCAAGCACATTATCTGCACCATTTCTGGATACCCAGGCAGAGTCAGTACCCCCACTGCCCAGGTTAGAAAGCTGCATCTCTCGACAGTGATATGGGGCGTGGGTGAAGGGCTGAGCTCTTGAATCTGGCTTTCTGGGTTCCAACCGAGACTCTGGGCTACCCAGCGGTGTGGCCTTTGCCGCCTCTCTGGCGCTCCCTTTGCCTGTGTTCTTCTCATTTTACAGATGGAGGTCAGACTACTCACTGACAGGTGTATTTGGGAGGAATAAAGAAGTCCTCGCTTGTAAAATGCTTTGGGGAGAATCTGGCACATAGTAAGTGCTCAATTAAGACATGCCATTATTATAAAGACCATTGCCCATGGTCACAGAAGCTGGCCAGCACACAAAACCAGGTCTGTCCCTAACCAGTGCAGGGCCTGGCAGGGTACTTACTCAAGGGTTGGAAAAGAGAAGCAAGTGTGTTTATAGCAGGCGAGGGAGACAGTCAGATTTGGACCTGGATTTGTCCACTCCAGAACCTGGGTAGCTCTCTATCATCAGCTAGACCACCTAGTGTAGACAAAGCAAGTGGTATTCTTGGAAGAAACATACCTGGATCTGGGTGATCCTCACGGAAGTTGAGAGACGGCCTGCCTTTCAGTGTTCCTCCGGCATCTTCTCCAAACGGGAGGTCAAGGGAGACCCCTAAAGGAGACAGAGTCAGAGGTGAGTGGCAGCAGGAAAGGACATGGAATTGATGAGCTCCAAGTCTCCTGCCTATAGGTGTGCCCTCTTAAGCCACACCCTCAAACAGGATACTGGGGTTTAGGGAAAATGCTGGAGAGGGGATTAAGGTCAGAGCCACACCCTAATGGGCGTAGAGTAACCAAAAATTCACAAGTCTAGACTAAAGATGGACAGCTGCCCTAAAGTTCAGTGGGGTAACTGATCCAAAGCCATGTTAGTTGGCTACTTCACTGCAGCTGATGAGCGGATGCCCAGCAGCTCCCAAGATAACATAGTAGATTTCGCAGAAACTGGAACCGAATAAAATGTCGCCCTCAGAGTCTGCCTGGATTCAAATCCTGCCTCCCCTGCTCAGCTGCTGGGAGGCCTCAGCCCGATGACTTAACCTCTGCCTCGCCTGTAAAATGGGAGTAACAATGTCACCCAGTGCGTCGGGTGCTTTTGAGGGTTAAATGAGCTAATGGCAGCGAAACCTTAAAACTGTGCCTGGCACGTGGCAATCACTCAATAAACATCAACCAAAATGGCATTAGCCATTATTCTCTCTGGATGTCTCCCTGTTCTGAAGCAGCCTTTTGACTTAACTAATCCCTTTGGCTTCTTTGACAACTTTTTTAAAAATGTTGTTAGCACATTTTGTTGACATATTTTTAGGAATACCAAGCCTGCATGTCCTCCCCAAAATACTTTAAGAGATTATGTTTTGTTCCCACTTGTCTTGAGGAACGAGACTTCAGTATCTTTGAGTAGGATGGAAACAGTAAAAAGCAAATGGTAGTGGAACCATCTTTCCTGAAGTTCTTACAAAAAAAAAAAGAAAAGAATTAAAGATTCAGATGCTGGGCTTTTAAAAATCACCTTGCTAAGTATTTTCTTATCAAGTTTCTTTTGCTCTCTCTCTCCCATAAACACGACAGTAATGAGATAGTTTTTCTTTCCCCCTGCCTCCAAAAAAAAAAATCTGTCACACAAATTTCTCCAAACCAATACAACTGAATTTGCTACAAGGATTTGTAACTGATACGTTATATTCTTTAAACAAAATAAGAACGCTATGAACAGAAAGAAACCGTTTCTGAAGCAGTTTTATTTGTAGTCAACAAATAAGAACAACGTGTCCCCAAGGAAACAAAGTAGAATTTGGACTCGAAGCTAAAATGGCTCTGCCTTAATCCTCTGTTACCCAGTTCTATGGGGCTGCGTTTACAGGAAATGCCTGCCACCAGCAGTTTTCTGCTAGTTTTCAACCGTATTTTTGCATCATCAACTCAGCCATATAGAAATAAATAAAATACTCAGCTTTAAAAAAAAAACCGTAAAGGAAAGGAAGAGAATGCTGACCTGTTCATTCCTACCCTCTTCAGGATGGGTAGAGAGGCAAGAAGGAAGCAGGCTCCCCGCCCCCTGCAGGACTGGCTTCCCGGCCGTGTGGAAACTCTCTCATTACCACATTTTCAACAAGTAGACCGGTTTCGTCGTTTAATCAAAGTTAGTTTGTGGTTGTTTGGCAGTCTGCGCATGCCGTGTTTTTACAGCTATAGAAAATGTGTATTTATTTATTTTGAAATGGCTGTGACTGTATGACAAACATAAGCCAGCCTTAGCCAATGATTTATAAGAGCTCTGAAAAGCACTGCCTTTAAACATTTTAATAGAGGCTCTCTCATCCTTTGTAAGTGGAAGTGTAAATTGGTACAGTCCTTTTGTAAACATCTCAGTGAGACAAGTCAAGGGCCTTACAAATGTTCATACATTTGGGTGCAGCAATAACACTCCTGGAATCAATCCTAAGAAAATAGCCCTAATCAGGGAAAAGGTGTTATGAACAAAGATATTCATGGCAACAAGATTTACTGTAAGAGAAAGAAAAATACACACGCACTCTTTCTCTCCACATATATGTGGATCACACACATAGAAGAAGGGTTAATCATTCAAGTTATTCTCTACTCTTGCACACAGCCATTTCGAAATTAGAAAGTTTTGAAAAATATGCCAGTGAGAAATAGCTATAATAGCAAATGGAAAAATCATGATGCAAAGCTGTACTTTTAATAAACTATAAATCTTTATATTAATAAGCAAAAAGGGAGGATATAGGTATACATAAAGATATTAAAATTGATTTTAATACAGACTGGGTATTAGGTGATACCAAGAACTCACTATTCATTCATTAGCTGTGATAATGGCATCATGGCTTATTAGAAAAAATGAGTATATTTTTTAGAGATAGATACTGAAGCCTACAGGAGAAGAATGACATGATATGTTGGAATTTGGAATTCTTTAGCAAATGTAAAAAACAGGAAAATTGAAGCAAAGTGGTTATATATCTTGAAACAGCACAACTGGGTGTTGGGTATGGGGGGTTCATTTTCCTATTTTCTCTACTTTTGCATACATTTCAAAATTTTTATTAAAAATTTTTAAACGGTTGTTTAATAATGGGATATGCATGACCTCTTTCTACCTCCCATTTTTTCTCAAGGTATTTTCTATAATATCCCTGTATTACCTTTGAAATAAAACAAATGAACATGTATTTTACCAAAAGAAAGTAAACATAAGAGTTGAGAATCCCACAGAGATGTTTTCATTGCTGTGTGTTAGTAGAGAAGCCTCAGAATGCTGTGATAAGCCTGTGTACCTTAAAATGTGAGCTCATAAATGGTCCAAACCCTCTCTGTGGGACAGCACCGTGCCATCTGAGACTATGCTGTAAATATGATCAGCTGATAAGAAGGCCAGCTGCGACGAGCCATTTTAGAGATTAGAAACCATTTAAAAACACACACACACCTCCTCTTGCCTCTTAAATGTTAAGTGGCAAGATACTCCGGTTTTATTTCTCAAGTTTCATGCAATAATCATGTAAGCAGCAAGCAGCACAGAGTTCCACATACCGCCAAGCTGACTCAGAAGGAAGGGTTCCACATTCCTTAATTAGCAGCATCAGAAAAGCACCACTTCCTGCTGTGGAGTTTCCCATTTCATCCAGCTACTCAGTTGGCTCAGCACACCCCACAAGTTCATGTAGAGGATTTCCATCAAGTCTGGACACAAAGATAGTGTTAGTTACGCTACAATTCTTTATTAATCTACTTTACTTTGTTTTTGTTTTATTTTATTTTGTTCTATTATACTCCATTCTATTGTATTCTAATTTTTGCAGATTGAAGATGTCTGTGATGACATTATGCATCTTCTTCTTTGTTTCCAGACCTCCTGGACACCCTGCATATATTGAGACCACAGTTGGGAGCAGAATAAACGCTTCACCAACTTGAAAGTATAGTTCTTTCGGTTATTAACAGTCAAACAGATTCAAAAGTCCTGGGCCAGAAGTTTCTTTTTTAGTACCAATTACTTAAATTAAGTTTCTGATTTGTATTAAAGTTCTCTGGAAAAACTCACACAGGACGCAAGAGCACGAGGAAGATTTCCAAACAAGATTACATGGTTTTCCAATGTGACATATTTGATCATCTTTGAAAAGGCAACATTAATGGAAATGTCAAAGTCTCAGGAAACATTCTCCTTGTAAATATTGGATTTAACCGTTGCAACAATTATTTACTTTGAACTTCAGAGGTTTTAAAGAAATGTAAAATAACCTTAAGGAGGTGATTGGCAGATTTGACAGATACTTTAAAAAAAACTATTTGGAAAACATTATTTTTGCTTTTCGAGGGATTCTAAATTGGTTGTGCGACGCATTATCCCCTTTTCCCCTTTTAGTCCTCATCCTTAAACTACATCTTTTCTTTTTCTCTTTGACCACCAGTTTGATAGATTTATATTTGGTTTTTAATTAAGTACCATAGCTGCAAGTAAGAGGATAGATAAGAAAAGCCCATAGTCTTAAGCCCCAAGAAAAAGCAAATGTTTGCCTTAGTGGCAAACTAGCCTTCTCAAGGACCTGAGAGAAGCAAAAAAGGTCTACTTTGGAATTTTATTTCTTCTGAAGACATCTTCTGGCGTTTGAGAACGTCTGAGGCTGTTTTGTGGGACAGACCAACCCTTGATTGGATCTCTTAAGAATGAAAGCCTTTCCTTTTGACCACAGAGAGTGATGAATTACTTCTAACACTACATGATATTTATGATGAAAAATATACTTTAAATTTCATTTCCTTTAAATAACAATTATGTCAAGTTGAGTCCAGAGCCAAGGGCACTGGCTTAAATTAAACAGACCTTGGGCCTTTGGTGTTCTTGGGTCATGCAAGAGCCACAGATGGACTCTAGCCTGACTCAGTTTCCCTCCTTATGTCACAAGACACTCTGAGGGTGCATGTAAAGGGCCCCATGACTATGATATCATCTTTATGGAGATATAAAGATGTCATAGATGTTTTTCTTGAAAATAATGTTTATAAAAAAGTACACTGTAAGATATAATACTGATCCCAAGAAGCTGTCTTCTCTCACCTTCAAAGAAATCAAGATAGAAATAAAATTGTTCTTATTAATATTTGTGGATATTATTCATATCTAAGTGAGAGTTTTGCTTGTGAAAAAGGATGATATCTGAATTCACTCTAAAGTTTTAGATTTCTGCCCTGTTTACTTTTCCAAGTTATTAAAGATTTTATGTCTCTCTTAGTTTTCAAGTATGCAGCAAAATATTGTAAATCCATCAGAAAAACACTGGAATTTTAACCTGTAGTAATTCAAAGCTGCTCCTTTGAATGCAGGGTACCACCATTCACAGTATAGTCTATTGTGTTCTGTTTACATAGAATGCAGTGTGAATGGTGCCCACCTGGAGTTGGTCAATGGACTGAAATAATCTTAGCAAACTCGTAATAGTTTGGGCACAACCACTGCTCCTTCATCATCCAGCTGGGCCTGCTTCTGGTGCCACGGTCTGTTAGATAGTGACCTACGAGACCTCCTGGCCTTGTTGATATTTCTTCACTTATCAGTGGATCATTAGTTGGAGTATTTCCTTAGTCATAGAGACTGGCAGTTTATTGAGATGTTCTCAGTAGGAACTACATTTGAAGATAACCAAATGCTGACTTAAACATGAATGTGAAAAAAATATACTCTTTCTTCTTGAGGATTTAAGATTGTTTTGGTATTTTGTGATTCTTAAACTTTTAGCTGTTTTTAAGAGTGGTGATCTGATTTTTTAAAAAAATCTTTCCTATAACATTTGAATGTTTAATTCTTTTGAAAACATTTACGTTTTTCTGACCAGCCAACAACACTTAATATCTTCAGTAGTTTCTAAGATTAAGAAAATAGGAGACAGCTAGAGAGATTTGGCAAACAAGTATGTAATAATCTGGCAAGGAGATTCTTGGGCAAGAGTATATGGGTTTGAGTTTATTGCAACACTTGAAAGCAATTAAAATGAGTTTTTTTCCCCCTCAAACTTATTTTTGTCCTTTGTATTTAAGCACATACAGGCATACAACTGAAAAATAACATTACAAGAATAAATGCATCCTTAAGCTGATCACGTCAAGAAGCTACTGCCAGGGGGTCTTTAGGGACTATTAGGAATGTCTGTAATCCACTCCCAGGCTTATTGTAGGTGTCAAGACCAACTCTTTAAGAAAAACTAATCAGATCCTCACTATTCAAATTTAATTTATATTGTTGACTTGATATAGAATATCCTACATAGTGTTAAAAATACCATCTTCCAAACTGTGGGGACAGACACTGAAATGATATCTATGCGGTTAAACTATGGTAAATGTGTGTTGAACAAATGTAAATAGAATGTAGTAGCAGCTACTGTTGATGAAGCTGAATCATTCGGGATAATTCTGCAGTCAGCTAGAAGAATGCTGTTCTTAGTTCTATGTACCTGCCATATTTTAAACACAACAGTGGTCAAATTTTATAATATCACTTCAAAAAGGTTAGAGGATACACTCTACGATGCAATGTACAATCCTTAAAAAATACTTTTTGATTTTTATGGTTAGAAAACCTTTTCTCATTATAGGAAGTTTGAAAACTGCAGAAAACACCCATAAACCCAAGCTATAACACCCAGAAACAACCACAGTTCCTATGTTGGTGTGTTTCCTTGTAGCTTTTTAAAAATAGCCTAGTACGTGGTAGTATTCTCCTTTTTTTCATCTGATTGTTCACAGTGATGATTTTTCTCACGTTTTAAAAATAATATTAGCCTCGTAAATCACGTCTTGTTTTCTTTCTCTTATAAAAACTTACAAAGTACACACGCTGCACACACTCCTATCTCCCCTCACCACCCCCTACAACCCATTTTGGTTGGGCGGGATGGGGCAGAATCTCTCTGAAAAGTGAAACAGAAAAAAACAATGGTTTCACTGACAGTTGAATTAAAACCCTAACAGGTAAAGACTATCACACCACTGAAACTCCTTTTTTCTCTGCATCTTAAGAGATTTCAGAGCAAATTATCCAGGAA